TTTATCTATTTATCTGAGAGAGAGAGAGAGCATGCACTCACATGAGCAGGGGGAGGGAGGGAGGGAGAAGCAGACTCCCCGCTGAGCAGGGAGCCCGACAAGGGGCTTGATCCCAGGACCCCAGGATCATGACCTGAGCCAAAGGCAGAGGCCCAACCAACTGAGCCACCAAGGCGTGTTGAGCACCTTTGTCTGTGTTTCTCCACCATTTCCACTCAAAAAATTAGATGTCTAGGGACAAACCTGATGAAAGATGTGCAAGACCTCTAAAATAGAAGTTACAAAATACTGCCGAGGGAAAAGAAAGAACTAAATGAACCGACAAAATTTCCATGTTCATAGATTAGGAAACTCAATGTGGTTAAGGTGTCAATTATCTGCAAATTAATCTATAGAATGAATGCAATTCCAATCAAAATCCCAGCAGTTATTTTTTAGGAAATGAAAAGCATGATATAAAATTTATATGTAAGTACAAAGAATCTAGAATAGCCAAAATAGTCCTGAATAAGAATAAAATTTTAAAACTTAATTAAACTACTGATATTAAGACAATACATAGTTACAGTAAGTTACAGTAATCAAAGCAGTGTGGTGTTAATGCGAGGACAGACAACAAAGGGACCAAAAGAACAGAATAAATATCCAGAAATATATAATGGTTTAGGACAAAGATTCTACTGCAGTAATAAATGGTACTGAAGCTACTGGATAACCCTGTGGATAAAAATCAACCTTGACCCCTCTCTTCCACAAAACCTAAAAATGAATTCAAGATAGATCACAGCATTGAGTCTAAAAACAAATACAATCAAGCTTCTAGAATAGGACAAAGAAGAATATTTTCATGACTCTGAAATAGGCAAAGATTTCCTAAAGAGGGCATGAAAAGCCCTAACCAGAAAAGAAAAAAATAATAAACCAGACTTTGTTAAACATGAGAACTACTGGTTAAAAGGTATCATTAAGAAAGTGAATCAATAAGCTGCAGCTTGAAAAAATGCACTCACAATATACACATTTAGCAAATGACTCACATCAGAACAAAGAAAGAGCCCCTAAAAATCAATCATAAAAAGACAACTCAGTTTTTTAAAATGGGAAAAATACTTAAACGGAACTTCACAAAAGAGGATATCCAAATGACCAACAAACATATGGAAAGGTTGTCACATCATTGTTCATCAGGGAAATGCAGAATAATACCATGGTACCTGCCCGAATGGCAAACTGATAATACCAAGTGTTGAAGAGGATGCAGAGTAACTGGAATGTTCATACATTTCTGGAAGGAACATTATATGCATCAACCACATAAAACTATTCAGTATTTTCTTAAGTTAGTCATTACCACCCTATGACCTAGCAATTCCACTCCTGGGTATATGCCCAAGAGAAGCGAGTACTTTGCCCACCAAAAGACATGTACAAAAATGTTTGTAACAGCTGCATGTATAATAGCTCCAAAGTGGAAACAACATCAATGTAAATGTACACCTACAGGAGAACAAATAAATACCCTGTTCTACAGTCACAAAATGAAATACCTCAAACAATAGAAAAAAAATTATACATAAAATGTGGATGAGTCTCAGACATTAAGTTGAACAAAAGAAGCCAGAAACACAATAGCTAATACTGTATGAGTCCATTTACATGAAGTTTAAGACTAGGCACAATTGATCTATGGTTAATAGAAATCAGCAAGATCATCTCAGGTGAGCAAAGGGGAGGCAGGTATTGACTGGGAAGATACAAGAGGATCTTATGAAAGGATGGAACTGTCCTAGGGATGCCTGGGTGGCTCAGTCAGTTAAGCATCCAACTCTTGATTTTGGCTCAGGTCATGATCGCAGGGTTGTGGGATCGAGCCCCGTGTTGGGCTCCACACTCAGCAGGGAGCCTGCTTGTCCCTCTCCCTGTTCCTCCCTCTGCTCTCTCTCAAATAAGTAAATAAATAAAATCTTTTTTTTTTTTAAAGATTTTATTTATTTATTTGAGAGAGAGAGAATGAGAGAGAGCACATGAGAGGGGGGAGGGTCAGAGGGAGAAGCAGACTCCCTGTCGAGCAGGGAGCCCGATACGGGAATCCAGGGACTCCAGGATCATGACCTGAGCCGAAGGCAGTCGCGTAACCAACTGAGCCACCCAGGCGCCCAATAAAATCTTTTAAGAAAGGATGGAACTGCTCTATGTCTTGATTTGGGTGGTGGTTGTACACATGTACACACGTGTGGAAATTTCTTGAGCTGTAAGCTTCAGATTTATGCATTTTAACAAACGTAACTTAAACTTCAATCAGCAACTCTGGCATTGGCCTCCATCTGAATGCAGTCATATAAGGAACTCAATGTAAGAACCACCTTGATAAGCCTAATGCATAGACCATTAGAGATAATAATCCAAAAAATGGCCATTTTAAGTTAACTAAGCTTCGGGACACTCTGTTATGCTGCAATAGACAACCAGAACAGAATTTGCACTGGATGTGGGTGCTGCTTTGGGGCCAGGTGGTGGGCGGGAGCTAGAAGGCTAGAGACTGTCTGCGAGGACTTGGAAGGACAGTGAGAAAAATATATTGGAGGATGAAGAAAAGGGGACTCTTGTTATGTGGTGCCAGAACACTGGTAACACTATCACCTGAGGTGATGAAAAACAGAGAGGGTACTCAAAGAATTCATGGACCGTAGCTAGGGATGTGTCTAGGCAGAAAGAAGAAAGGGACAACTGCCTTCTTATGGCTGCCTATGACAAAATACAAAAGAGATATAAACTAAACTGGGTACTATTAAGTTTTTGAGAGGAAATATCAAAATGCCAGGACCTGCTGGTTTCATAAATAAAACTATTGCATCCTTAGACTCACAAGGTAAGAATGACTTCAGCACAAAGAAAAAACACAGGTTACCACCCACAAAGCATGGCCTAGGGTAAAGCTCTTGAGGGTATGGCTGTATACCACTTGGGAAGACCTCAGAATGATCTACGCAAGTAGCTGGTAGGGCTTCTGAGAGTCTTAAGACTGTGCTTGGTAGACTCTCTCAGCTAAACATTGGTAGACGTGCTTGGTAGACGCTTAACTGACTGAGCCACCCAGGTGTCCCTCAGCTCAATCTTTAACTGGATTGAGCAATTAGTCTTCAGTCTTGGCAGGGGGTAAATGCTCTAGTGGGAGATGACGTTATCTACAGCCTCTGAAGTTCTTTTTATATACAATATTCAGATATAAGAAAAAATTACTAAATATGGGAAAAGGCAAGACCATATAACAGAAAATCAAGAGAAAAAACAGGTAAAGTCCCTGAATGGTTTTTTTTTTGTTTTGTTTGCATGGAAAGGCCAATTTCTTCAGACAGAGGTATCTGGGAGTTCAAAGTCTTCTGCCTCATCTGTGTCTGCCAAAAATTCTTGTCCAAAACTCAGGAACCCACTCTTTCCCACAGGTGCCCTTACCTTAGCATAAGAGACCACTGGGGTTGTGAATTTAAATGCCTTTATAATTGTGCAGCCCGTACGAATCAGGCCATATAAATCAGGCCTAATCATCAGCCATGTGGGTCTTGCATCTATAAAGATAAGAGATTCCTTTCAGGCCACCATAGAGCCTTTCTATTTATTCTCCAAAACCCGACCTCCAACCTCAAGAGTTCAAGGCGCCAGGGGCTGTGTTGATTTTCCAGCATAGCCCATCCAAAACAGCAGCGTCATGGTCATCACCACCTGCTGAAGTCTCAGATAATCTTCAGTGATTCTTCAAGGCCCTCTGGCCTACCATGGCTTCACACTGGCCGATCCCTACCAGAAAATAGGTAGCCCAGGTGGTAGATTCCACAGAGCTTAGCCGCCAGGGACACAGCACAAGAGAAGGAAGGGAAATGAGACTGGTGAGGCGGCCAGAGAAAAACCAGCTCACGCCATTAACCTTTTCTCAGGAAGTTACTGAAGAAAGTGCTTCCCCAGATGAGATGGATAAGGAAGAGGAAGATATGGTATCAGGAAAGAGGAGAATCAACATAGCAGAGACATGAGGGGAGTAGCTAGAATGATGAATAAAACAGGTCCTAACACATCAGTTAGCAAGAATCCTTGTAGCAACTTAATTCTAGAACAGGAGGACCACATTTTTTAAATTACTGAGACATTACCTGAATCATCAGAATACACTGTAAGGAGTTTTGCAGTTTTGAGGAAAAACTTGAGGATGAATAAGTGATAAGAATTAAATAAGTCAGTGATATAAAACTGAGTGTATGAAAATTTTAGGTAATTATTAATTAAAGGAAGACAAAAAACACACAAAAAAAGGAAACGTAATCCTAATAGTCTACATGGATCATCTTTGGACAGTATCTATAGTTCAAATGATGTAAAATAAAGAATTTCTAATCTATAAACTTTATTACAAGAAGGTATTTCACACAATTGTCTTTACCTTTTGCTCTGGATGGAGCTGCCAAGTCACTTGGGAGTCAACGGAGGGGGACCATGGACCACATTTTGAGAAACAACACTTCATCATTTAGCATTGTGTACCAGATAGGGTACTTCCTCCTTTCTTCTCCTTCACAGAGAGTTCCACACTTAATCTAATGCTTATCTCTGTACTGTTCATGCTCTAGAAATGTATATGGACAATAGGTGCACTTACTGAAATCCCAAGAATGCATTTTATTTAGGGAATATAGGATTTATCTCAATTTTTTCTGAGGTGCAACCCAGTATTTCTCTTTTAGGTTCAAAATTCTTATTAATATTACTAAACTAAAGTTAATGAAAACACTTGGCGTTTTCATTCAATTTTATTATGAGAGAAAATAGTAAAATGTAAAATGGGGCTGAATAAGAAAAACATTTTAAAAGTTAACTTACTCGTATGAAATCCATAAGTGTATTATAAATGAAGGCTCCTCTGGGAAGAAAAAAGCAGCTTCCAGGACTCAGATCATGGAAAAAGAACAGTTCTTGTTCCTAGATTAAAACAATAGGTGCATCTCAAATCTCACTGCCATAGATCAATATTTACTGTATGCATGTGATATGCTAGGAATGACTCAGTTACAATTTCCATCTTCTAATAACTGACTTCCCAAAGCCCTTCAATACTTACCTCTAACTATATGTACTAGCACATGTAAAATTACAATCCATTTTTATGGTTAGTTAGCTTTTCATTCACCTTTTATTTACTGCTGACTTCTGACTTGGCACCTGGGAGTGTGTATCTCATGGGGAGAGAACAGAAGATCACAAAGATCAGAAAAGCTCACGGTGGGAGGTGGGCTCTAACTGGTGGTGATCATCATCATGGCTGTCACTACTGAACACCTGCCCCATGCTGCCACCAAGATCCAGCATCTGTCCTCGTATCAGCCCTGCAAAGGCTACCGAGTAAGAGACCAGCACATGGAGTCCCATAAGCGAATACCTGGCCCACCACATAACACAGTTCGTAAGTGGCCAGATGGGAGACTGAAACCCAAATCTGCTTGCTCTCAAATCTCATTCTTTCTTTCTGCTCTGTTTCCCAAATACAAAGTATGTTATTAAGTACATACAATTTTTTAAAACATTATTTTTATATCATGGTAAGAATGAGAGAATGGTGTGATTTCTAAATTTAATAAAAGACACGGGAAGGGAAGAGGTGAGAGGACATTTGGGGGATTAGCATACAAGAACGCAACAGCAAACTCTGAGTGCCAGCAAAACAGAAGACCGGACAAGTGCAGAAGAAATACCAAACAATTTGATCAGAGGCCAAAGAACGTCCCCATCCTGCTGGGGATTAGGATGCACAGCGTACCTTTCCAATCTTCCTGTGATCTCGGTTCTTGGCTTCCTCTTGGAACTTTTCCCAGGTCTTCATCATCTTGTTATCAGGGAAGGATATCCCATAGACCCTCTGCAGTGTTTCCATTTCGGGATTGCCCTCCCAATATGTTGAGGAATTCTAAGCACCAGACAAGATTTGGGTCAACACACCAAACATCTGGTGATCAATAAAACTGCTCTTAAATATGTGCACAATTTTCCGCTACATCATCAACATAGCTTTACTTAAAGATGACTTTCTGTAGCACTGGAAAGACTTTGAAATTGATTCTAATTAAACCTGCCCAGCCAGAATTCATCAGAAAACGATGTAGTCTGCTGTGGATTGTGGGAAAGGAAAGTGAGGAAGGGGAAGGCAGCAGGGCCAAGAGTAACTGCACCACCGACGGGAGGAGCAGCAGAGGAAGCAGGATCGGGGACGTGAAGATCCCAGTCAAGTGTTCTTGTTCACATTAGGGTGATTCGAGAAAACCATGATACGCAGAACAACATGTTAACATAGCATATGAGAAAGAAAGGCACTGTCACATGTATAGTGAGTTTAGATAATAAACAAAACTACATGTAAGGTCCTAATTATCAAAAAATCTAAAAAATTATAGTATTTTTAGAAGTTTTTGTAAAAATCAAATAATGAAGTATTTTACAATACCGTGATATTCAGATTATAAAAGATGTGATTGAAATTCCTCATTATCTGGGTCATCTTAAGTTTGCTGTATTAAAAAAAAAAATCCTTACCTTGAAAATTTTTATGGTTTTAATTTTTCCAGTGTGTCTTACATGGGGGCCTTTGCAAAGGTCAATTAGCGGACCACACCTATAATGAAATATTTCAGACATGTCCAGATATAGTTATAGCTTTTTGGACCATTCGTTACAAACCATGTTTTCATATGTTTTAAGTGAAGGATCTCACTTATTTGTACATCTTAGGTCAACTTTTGATTTGGGGATAATTTAAAAAAATTTAAATTAATTTTTAATTTAGGATGAAGAGGCAATCTATCTAGCCTTAGATCCCAGTCTTCCCTCCTTTGCTCAAATTCAAAAGTTACAGAATCTTCTGAAAGTAACTGTACATAAAGACATCACTTTTCACTGTCATATCCCAAGGCTCTTAAAAACCTTCTACTTTCATAAAATCAAAAAGCCATTCCCCTGCTCTACACTAACTTTCAAAACCAAAATTACCTCCAATTTATACAAAATGCACTAATTTCATACCTTACTTTAAAAATAAACTTCACCAAACCCACAGAATGTACCCCAACAAGAGTGAACCATAATGCAAACTCTGGACTCTATGTGACTATGATGTGTCAGTGTAGATCCATCAATTGTTACTAATGCGCCAGTCTACGGGGGATGTTGATAGTGGGGGAGGCTGTGCATGTGTGGGGCAGGGGGTACGGAAGAAATCATTGTACCTTCTCAATTTTGCTGTGGACCTAAACCTGCTCTAAAAAATCAGGTCTGGAGGCGCCTGGGTGGCTCAGTCGGTTAAGCGTCTGCCTTCAAGCAGGTCATGATCTCATGGTCCTAGGATCGAGCCCCACATCGTGTGCTGGGCATGGAACCTACTTAAGATTCTCTCTCTCCCTCTGTCCCCTCCCCACTGTCTGCATATGCTCTCTCTCTCTCTCTCTCTAAAAAAAAAAAAAAAAACAAAAAAAAACATGATACTATCACTGGGGATTCACTTGCACCTCTAACAAACATGGACCCCCAAACCTTAATAAGCACAGACTTTTTTTCAAGTACAGAAACATTTA